CAGATGTCTTGCTTCCCTCCAGGGAGAGCTGTCTTTCCCTCCTCAGAAACCTTTCACCTGCCCCTGTTAGCCTGTGGCCTTGGTCAGGGGCAGCTCTTGGCTCCTAACAAGCAGGAACAAAGGAAGAGAAAGGAGGGAGGAGAGGAGGCATAGGATGGGGCAAGGAGTTCAGAGGAAGCACAGCCTTTTCCTAGGGAGTAGCCCCATAGCCCAGCAAGGATTCTACAGGCAAGAGAGACCACAGCCAAGAGGAAGTGGAAGACAAGGGGCACAGAGGAGCCAGGTGGCTACGCAGAATCCCCAGAAGGAGGAAAGAAGAGCAGGGTGGGGACATGGGGGTGGTGGGGAGGAAGGAGGGTTCTGGGAAGAGACATTTGTTTATACCCTCACTGTCCAATACCAAAATCGTTAGCCACATGTGGCTAGTCTGAATTGAGATGTAAATAGAAAACACGCATCAGACTACAATCTAGTATGACAAAAAATATACACTATCTCATTTAATCCTTTTTTTTAAACCCATGGCCACATGGAGTCTCACTATGTTGCCCAGGCTGGTCTCAAATTTCTAGGATCAAGTGATCCTCCTGCCTCAACCTTCCCCGTAGCTGAGATTATAGGCGTGAGCTGCATATAGCTGCATAGGCTGGAGTGCAGTGGCGTAATCTTGGCTCACTGCAACCTCCGCCTCCCAGGTTCGAGCGATTCTCCTGCTTTAGCCTCCTGAGTAGCTGGGATTACAGGCTCAAACCACCATGCCCAGCTAATTTTTGTATTTTTAGTAGACAGGCAGTTTCGCCATGTTGGCCAGGCTGGTCTCCAACTCCTGACCTCAGGGATTCGCCTGCCTCGGCCTCCCAAAATGCTGGGATTGCAGGTGTGAGCCACCACACCCAGCCTTGATTATCATACATCAAAATGATAATGTGTTGGATACACTGGGTTAAATAAAATATGCAATTAAAATTAATTTCATTTGTTTCCTTTTATTTCTTTTAATAGGGCAGCTAGAAAATTGAAAAGGCCACGCCTGGCTCCATTTGTAGGAGTTACATTTCTTTTTTTTTTTTTTTAAGATGGAGTCTCACTCTATCACCAGGCTGGAGGACAATGGCACAATCTCAGCTCACAGCACCCTCCGCCTCCTGAGTTCAAGCGATTCTCCTGCCTCAGCCTCCCGAGTAGCTGGGACTACAGGCACGCATCACCATGCCCAGCTAATTTTTGTATTTTAGTAGAGACGGGGTTTCACCATATTGGCCAGGCTGGTCTTGAACTCCTGACCTCAAGTGATACGCCCGCCTCGGCCTCCCAAAGTGCTGGGATTATAGGCGTCAGCCACTGCGCCCGGCCACAGATATGACTATAGATCACTGGTTCCTACTCGGGGTGGTTTTATCACCCACAGAACACTTGGCAACATGGAGACATTTTTGGTTGTCACATCTGGGGAAGAGGGGCAAGCGTGGCCGGCATCTAGTAGGCCAGAGATGCTGCTAAACATTCTACAATGCGCAGGACACTCCTCACCACAACAAAAACTATGCAGCCCAAAATGTCAGCGTTGCCAAGGTTGAGAAACCCTCTGCTACATAAACTAAATCACAGCAGCGCTGTTTGTCCCAGAGCACGATTCATACGTGGTGTGGCGGGGTCATGACTGGCCTCCGCTAAGCACTTCATTAGACAGGTGTCGCACACCGGGTGGGACTGAAAGCACAGAACAGCCTGCTGAAAGCTGGGGAGGGAGTGCAGAAAAGTTTTCAAGAAGTGGCCATGCCGGGCGGGGTGGCTCACGCCTGTAATCCCAGCACTTTGGGAAACCCAGGCGGGCGGATCAGTTGAGGTCAGGAGTTTGAGACCAGCCTTGCCAACATGGTGAAACCCTCTCTCTACTAAAAATACAAAAAAATTTGCCAAGCGTGGTGGCACGCACCTGTAATCCTAGCTACTCGGGAGGCTGAGGCATGAGAATCACTTGAACCTGGGAGGCAGAGGTCGCAGTGAGCAGAGATCGCACCACTGCACTCCAGCTTGGGTGACACAGCAAGACCCTGTCAAAAAAAAAAAAAAAAAAAGTTGCCCTATTTCAAGAGAAAGGGGCACTTTCTGAGCCTACTCTCCCCTAAGCCCAGCTCTCCTGCTCACCCTACCAGGGTCAGAACCATCTCTGCCTCCAATTCATAGTCCTTTAAGTAAGAATCCTTTTAATATACCCTAATGTCCCAACCAAACTAATCTTGAAAGCTTCTATGTAGATACAAAGTGCTCCTGAAATCCCTATCCTCAGAAATGCTTCTGAGCCAAATGGACCCTGAACCCTAAACAACCGTGTCCATGCATGTGGCAAGAGCTTGTGAAAAACAAAACTGGGCCAGGCGCAGGGGCTCACACCTGCAATCCTAGCACTTTGGGAGGCTCAAGTGGGCAGATCACTTGAGGTCAGGAGTTCGAGACCAGCCTGGCCAACATGGCGAAACCCTGTCTCTACTAAAATTATAAAAATTAGCCGGGCGTGGTGGCTCACACCTGTAGTCCCAGCTACCCAGGAGGCTGAAGCTGGAG